CACTAAAATATATATGACCTGTTAAATTAGGTTACACAGAAACAGTGGGTTACTCTACCTCATATGAGGACACCTCCAGGAGCTCAGAGATATCAGTCTCTTGAGTTGACAATGCCCGGATAATCACATTGGCTGCTCTCACTACATCTGGATGGTAGTGTTTCTGAAGAGTCTGTGGGTTAAAAAAAAAAAAAAAAAACAGAATTGGGAAAGGAAACTAAAGGAGGTCATGTTAAAACTACTCTCTGGAACTTATGTGGGTTTTTTGTGTGAAGCAAAGTAAATTTTTATACCTACAATCTGAAGAGCAATAAATCTTCAAAATTACTTTCAAAACTATCCCTGACCTGCATAAAATTTTCAGAGCTCTACTAGAGTGCATTAGAGGCAAGTGTCATGTTTGTACTAAACATTTGAAAGAAAATGTTTAACGTGCATCTGTCAAAATAAAAAAAGCAGATGGTGATTTATTTTAGATTCAATTTCCCTATAATCTATGCATTCTGATAAGTACATATTTCTGTCAAATGTATATATTATAGCCTGCAACAATCCACTGCATACAAAGCTTGTTGTGTTTCTTGTGTGATAATCAAAGAGATAATATTACTACCACTACCCGCTTTGTTACTCATAGCATCAACATCACATAACAACATCACATAACAAGCACTTGAAAAGTTTCTACAGCACGAGTTTTAACCCACATGGATATCTCACCAGCCTCATACATAGAATATGCTTTATTTGTATGGTTCCTGTTTTCACTTGATCAGTTTATAGAGTTGCAAATTCCACATGATGCTGTATTACACGTCCAATAAAAATATCCTATCATGAAGTATATCTGACACACGGACACACTCACACAGTTTTGACAGACATATACACATTCTCTCACACACAAACACACACGCGCAAATTGATTTTATTTAAGTCCACCCAGTATCCCTACCTTCGGGAGAGTTGGAGTGGATCCGTTCCCTTGGGTCCAGTGTGGGGATTGTAGAATCTAAATGCTCCTCCAGCACTGCTCCCTGTTTAGTGGTGTTGGAGTGATGTCATAACCCAGCTTCAGGCATCACCGCAGGGAGCAGTGCTAGATGTTAATGAAGATCACCAGCTATCTCCTGGCCTCTGCACCCCACAAAGTATTTGGGCTCAGTAGACACCTGGGTAAGCATGTGCTTCTCTGCATTAGCACACAGCCAGCGTGCCTCCTAAAGGGGCGCTAAAGGGGCCCTTCCTTAGGTGCTCTTTCCACTGATTGCGAAACAAGGCCCTGATGCATTCAAAACAAAATTATTTTTCAACAAAGTGACAACAGTATTCATCCTTCTTTTAGTCACACTATGGCTATTTGTTTATGATTTGCTTTTATCTAGATACAACTTTAAAGTCACAGTCTTATCTTCGCTTTACTTACTAGATATACCTCAATTAGTTTATTTTTAACTCTTCTCAATCTTGATGGAACTTGTAAGTTTAAGAGAAAGAAACCAAAATTCCAGATCTTACCTCCAGCTCCCACAGAGAGCTCTCCAAAGCCTGGCATTTTGCTGGTTCTTGTTCCTCCATTACATATGGATCAGCTGTCAGATCTATCAAAACACAAGGATATATATAGCGTTGTAGAAAGAGCTTTGATATAAATGTACTAATTTCCTTCATGGCAAAGAGTCTAAAAAGTTCTACCATTCAGAATATGTAAAGTATTTAAAAAGAGGGGGAAGAGCAAGTGTAAATCAGGCAAAACATTTGATCTCTGCCAGCTGCCTCGGAGTAACAGAAGTCTAATCAAATTAATATCTGCATATTACAATTTATCTGTAGACACTCGGGTAATGTAGAAGATTCCCTTCCGTATTATTAATCAAAATTTGTCCAACATTAGACTGCTATGATAGGAAGCCCCCAGTGCTCTCTGAAAATTTGCATTTGGATGCCTTTGAGTGAATAATGCAAAGCTGAATCTTCTACAGTAGGAGTGGAGAAATGGTGCACAGAGTGTCTCTCTAACAAAACAAAACCAAAATAAAATATAGTACCAAAATAAAATATGGAAACTCACCTCCTGCAGCAGATGGGCGGTGTATGAGGATCCTACAGGCTGGGTGCCTACGTATCAAGTTACAAATAAATGGAATGATCATCAGAAGAACTTGGGGTGGAGCAGTGAGTGACAGCCTAGAAAGGCGCTTGGCGAAAGCAGCAACAAGGTATACAGGTAAATGTCTAGAAAACAAGATACAAAAAAAAAAAAAGTTATGAAATGTAAAACTATGCAGATGACAGAGTGGAATAATTTGTATCAATCGGAGAAGAATCTCAGATTCTCAGGACATCAGCAGTCATGTCACTTACGTGGATGACAAGAACAAGTTGGCCAGATGGAAGAAACGAGCATGGTATTTCACGTGAAACACAGAAGGATCCAGCAGAGAGTAAAGCTTCTTGTAAAAATCAGGGTATTCTCTAAAAAGCGAAAACACACAATGCTGAGTATTTCTGATGACATAGGGCTTTTCTTGTCACAGATTATTAACCATGACAGATTAAACTATATTAAATTTAAGCATGGAGATTCTGGATCATAAAATAGATTTAGCAGAGGCTTTCATACTGGTTTACTACTTACAGGTTATGCTGATGAATCAGGACAAATAGCCCATTCAATGCAAGAAGACTGATGGGTCCACCTATGAGAAAAAAAAAAAAAAAAAGTAGATTTAGCAGTTTGAAACAGGTCTTATTGTCTGTTGTACAACTATTGTGCCAGATGACAAATTAAGTAGCCTCAGGTGACTGCCATGGGCACAGGGTTTAGACACGGGCCCAGTGGCATTACCCACACTTAACTTTTTGTTCATTTTACTTATGGCTAGGGCACACTGACACCAATATTAGACTATGGCTTACCAACATCATAGGCAGCTGTTAGAAAGTCTATCAACAGAGTGGGCTTCACCATATGTGGCAAAATGGACTCGTGCAAGATCAGAAGCACCTTTTTATAAAGACCGACTGGAAGCTAAGGAGAAAGATAAAAACAATAAAAAATATTTGCTATAACAGAAAACAAACAACTTCCACATTAGAAGGCTTATTAGCTACAGAATGTGTAATGTCAGGAATTGAACATGAATTCCAAATACAAAAATGACAAAATAGGCATCCAGACCACTAATTGTCTGGGTGCAGTATCTCTGTCCACTTACATTGTAGGATTAAGACTGCCTCTAGAGGCACTACCCGGTTTGAAACAATGCAGACAGACACCAGCATTTTGAAAATCTCCTTAAGAAATTAAAGAGTTAAAGCTTTCCTATTGGGAAGGCCTAATGCATTTTGCCACGCATACACGTTAAGTCCCCCCCCACCCCACAATCTCTTACATTGGAGGAGGCGAAGACGGAGCCAGCACCAAGGGACTTAGTCACTGCAGTCAGGTAAGTGTCTAAAGGCTTTTAAACCCTTTATTTTGGAAGCAGAGACACCAAAATTGCCCCTTTAAATAGATACTGTAGTGTCCCAGGAATACAAAGCTTTATTCCTGGCACTATCGGTCCTCCTGCCACCACCTTCCCTGGTAAATAAAGGATTAAAAACCCTTTACTTACCTTTTCCTATCGCCTAGGTCCCTCGGCACTGGGTCAACACTCCACCCCCTCCTTTGTCCCGCGACAAGCAGGGTCTAATGCGAATCCACGGCAAATCCCTAAATCAATGCTTTCCTATTGGGAAAAATCTGGCGCTGGAGGTCCTCATGTAGGGCCAAAGGTCAATTTCAATTCAGGAAGCCCTCTTATGGCTGTCTGGTAGACAGCCACAGAGGGCAGACTTAGAGCTGCAATGTAAACACTGCAGTTTCTATGGAACTGCAATATTTTACATTGCAGCACTTAGTGCAAAAGGGACAGAGCACCCAGACCACTTAATTAGCATAAGTGGTCTGGGTGCCTACAGTGTCCCTTTAATGCTAAAATGAAAATATAATGAGCAAAGCGTGTCTGTGGCATTCGGGGTCCTTGCATATTTTGTAAACCATCCAGATGGTGACATCACCACAAAAAAACACCAGAGTACAACACTTAGGTCTACAGAAGATCCACTGAGTTCATAGGAACCTCCATAGATATAGTGTTGTGATGAGTGAAACAATGCCTTATTCTCCCAGCCATCACTAGCAACGACTTTGGGAGGTGGCAAAACTTGACAGTAGTAGCTCCACCTCTGGTCAGTTTAGGAATATACCATAAGAAAAAGTGGCACCTACTTTGTCTTATGATATACAGTAATTGGGGGGGTACATCCTCTTTGAATTCTATGGTTCTACACATCAGTACATAAATAACTGTTGGTTAGAAGGTCCTAAAACCACAGATGAACAACACAACATATTACATTATGTCATGATTTCCTTTTTACACATGGCTTCTTCATTTTGGCTTTATTTTTGTAAAATAAATCATGGCATGGTGTAATGTCATGTTTTGTTGTTCAGCTGCAGTTGTATTTATCTAATTTTAAGACCCGCTAGAGAACAGATTATTGTTATGCCTGGATATGTAAAAATCATAGAATTCAAAGACGGTGTACTTTCTTTTTCCCATGACTGTATTTTGACAGGGTTGGAATTTCAATTAAATGCTCAATTTATTTTTGGGTGACAGAGCCGCTTTAAAGATTTTTCCACTTCAGTTATTTTCAGCCTAAATGTAAAATTTATTTGGAATTCACGACAAGTCACACTTTGGTATATAACTGAAAGCATTTATTTGCTAGTTATATTCAGAAACAAATAAGAGACAAGAACAAATACAACTGCCCGAATCAGGTCTTCCCCAAAGGAACATTATCATAAGCTAGGTACTACTATAAAAAAAAACAAATCATTTAATGGAAATTGGAGCATATGTGTAACGTTAATTGCTGGGAGCGACAAAGACAATGTTATCCAGTTTAATATACAATACAGCTTCTTTGCAAGTGAAAACATTAAAGGGAAACTACAGTGCCAAGAAAAACTAATTTTCCAGTCACTATATCTTCCCCACACTGTGGTGCAGAAGGGGTTAATAACCCCCTCTGTCACTTACCTGGGTCCAGCGCCGATATCCCTCAGCGTTGGCTCAGGTCAGCCTTTGCTCCTCCCCTAATGTGCATGCACGCAAACTAAGATTTCCCCATAGGAAAGCATTATTTAACCCTCTCCTATGGGGATGCAAGTGACGCTGGAAGTCCTCATGCATAGCGTGAGAACGTCCAGCATCATTTAGACAACCAAAAGTCGCCTAGACACCTGGAAGGGGTAGACAGCCACTAGAGAAGGAGTTAACCCTAGCAGGTAATTACTGCGGTTTATTAAAAACAAGCTGAAGTGGTCTGGCTGCTTATAGGGTCTCTTTAATAGACATGTTCATACAGTGAAGTTAAAATAAATGAAAGAGGTCATTAAAAATATCATCCAATTAAATATGTGGTCATAAAGAAGTACAAGTAACATCTATGGAGGAGTGCTTACTTGTTCTGTTGAGGATGCTTCAGTAAAAGGATTATTTGGCGAGAAGACTACTGATGACGATTGCTGCAACTGCTATAATCCGTAGAATACAGAACTCACTGACAGTTGTGGCAAGATGGGTGTATGGGAATAATTCAAAATTTGGAAGAGGGTATTCACCTTTTTCTATATTTTTAGCATGCAGGTGGTTTTTATTATACTACTCTTCTACATAAATATTCAAATCCCTATCCTCAACCAACATGTTCAAAGAGTGAAGTGTATTGTGCACTTACCCTGTGTTTCAGGAAGTTCATCCACACTCTCTCGAAAACTCTTTTATGCTCCTAAAACAAAAAATGAACAAACATGCATTTACTTCCAAAGCCATCCACCCGGAATAATTCAGCTAGAGAATTTGAGAATTACCTTCAGTTTTGCTGGCTTCCAGTCATCTGGCTTTGCTGCATAAGAAACACAATAAAAAAAAAAAAAAATGACATTGAGAGAGATGACATTCACTTAGCATTTTGATGGATTCTCAACTGAGGTTCTATTTTACCATAATTTCTTGTCTGTTTCACATTTTTAAAGGATGCTACTGGCTTCATTGTTATGAACATCGTATATCAAACTGCCTATTAGTATCATTGAGAGCAAAAGATCTATTATTCTATAAACAAGAGGAATGGATTGCTTGTTTTTAATACAAATCTGAGGCAACACGTTATTCTCAAATGCAGGTAAAGCACTGAAAAAGAATAGCCTAGATATTTAGATCGATCTATCTATCCTGGAAATTGTTTTAATACATTTAAAGTGAAAAATGCCATTTCCCATAACATTTAAAGGGACACTATAGGTACCCACACCACTTCAGCTAATTCAAGTGGTCCAGGGTCACCGGTGCCTTATCCCTGCAAAGGTAATTATTGTAGTTTTTAATAAATTTCAATAATTACCTTTGAGAGTTAACTCCACCTCTAGTGGTGTACCGTCAGTGTAGGAGCGGAGGCTGAGCCTGAACCAGTACCGAGGAACATAGGTGCTGGAATCAGGTAAGTGACAGGAGGAGGGGGGGTTGCACATGCAACATAGGGGGGCACTATAGTTTCCATTTAAGGTAACATCTATATTAAATAGTTACATTTGTGAGGTGTGAAAGATAAAATTAAACATTTACACCTCTTTTTTTTTTTTTTTTAATCAGGATTCTGTATAACCGATTTATAAAGAATTATAAAAAAATAAAAAGTTAGGTTTAATAAAAGGCAGTCTGGGGCCAAAACATCACCCATTTGACACCATGAATAAAAGACCACCATATTAAGATTGCGACTGTGCTGAACTCTACTGGTATATACCTCTGGCGGGAGCAGACCACAGTAGTCGCTACCTCGCTGTCTGGGGCTAATGATTTCCAATGCTAGATCGTGAGGGAGCAATTACTGTAGTCTGCACCACACACTCCAAAACTGATAGCAGCCTCCCCCCAAAAGAAAATGTGTATGTGTTTTAGGCAAAGGGTGCAAAACAGAGAGAGATACTTTGGGGATTTAATTCACAAAAATATGGTGAATAAACCTATGAATGTCCGTGGCTCTAGGCAAGTGTCCCAATCTTATATTATGCTGTGTGTCAGGACAAGTAGATTGGACTACCACTTTGACAAGTAGCCATTTTTTAATTTTCACACCGCTGCATGTATTCTTACATATACACTGACCTTTAACATTTTGTATGAAGTACAATACATTTTTTCACAATTAAAGCGAACTCAAAACAGGTAAAACTGTCTATAACATAACATGGCAACTTGAATTTAGGATTGGGCTGTGTTTCTAGGCTGATACAGGGACACAAGGAGACCTATTTGATGCACAAGCACTAGTTTGGCCTCTTAAGTATGTAAGAGTCACATGCTGGGTTAGTATAATTTCATCCTTTAAAAGGAAAAATTTAACTTATATTCATTTATAACATTCATTTATTTTCCTTAAGATGGGCTCAACCAGGACACAGAACAGTCAGCAGTTTTCCCAATTAGCAGTATATATTGGCCTGAATTAATTTAACCTTTCACAGAGAGATTTTTCCTTAGACGGACCCCATTTATAAATGCATTGCAGAAAATTTTACTTTTAAAAAAATAAGTAAAATTTTCTTTTTACATACTTTTTCTTGCAACTGTAAGAGATATATATATATATATATATATATATATATATATATATATATATTTTACAGTTGCAAGAAAAAGTATGTGAACCCTTTGGAATGATATGGATTTCTGCACAAATTGGTCATAAAATGTGATCTGATCATCTAAGTCACAACAATAGACAATCACAGTCTGCTTAAACACACAAAGAATGAATTGTTGCCATGTTTTTATTGAACACACCATGTAAACATTCACAGTGCAGTATTATATATTTTCACAGTGAGGTATTATATATTTTCCTTAAGATGGGCTCAACCAGGACACAGAACAGTCCGCAGTTTTCCCAATTAGCAGTATATATTGGCCTGAATTAATTTATCCTTTCACAGAGAAAGGTTTTTCCTTAGACGGACTCCATTTATAAATGCATTGCAGAAAATAAAGTCTACAAACACAGATTAGTTATACATCAATTCAACATAAAAAAAATCCAATCATCTTTCCATTTAACAAAAAAAAATTATAATCACATTATGCCTGCAGGTATCCAGCTAAGCAGTCCTGAATTTAAAAGATAATCACACCTATCACAAAATGTTCAATCCTTTAATCCCAGATGTGGAAAGAATTCACAGAGGACAATATAAATTCAGCACTGCTTCATACTCACCTTTCTGCGCAACTAGGAAATTGGATAGTGTGTTTTCCTCAACTGGCATGTTAATGGAGGAGATCAAGCAAAATACATTATTTTGGAAAATTGGGAGGACCATCTGGGGAGCGAGGGAGAGAGAGAGAGAGAGAGAGAAACAAAAATTGCCAGAAGCTCAATTAGAGTAGGAAAAAATTTTATTATAAAAGTTCGATATTAAAGTTCACATAAGGTAATGCAGTAATCTACCAGTGGCGGCTCACTAATTTTATTGAGAATGACTGCACACGAATGAAGAATACAGAAATTAGAGGGAGGGAGTAAGATTTGCTTCTCATCATATGTTTTACAAGGTGTGGACAATATAACAACATTAAGTGGATATTCCAAGCAACTAGAAGAGACCTGGATAACTCAGAATTTAATATGCAAGGTGCTGTATCTTTTTCCCCATTTTATTTTTGTTAAAATATGAGCTATGGCTGCAATACCATATTTTGCTGATACAACACTCATCCATGTGGCATCATTACATATAGCCATAGTAAACATTTGCAGATAATATACATATGTTAAAATAAAAACAAGACAGATGATTTTTCATGAAACCGTAGCACTGAAAAAAAATTACCGTATTTATCGGCGTATAACACGCACTTTTTCTCCCTGAAAATAGGGGAGAAATTGTGGGTGCGTGTTATACGCCGGCCCTTTAAATGCTGCAGCCGTCTGAGCGCTCTGTCAATGCTGCAGCCGTTGGAGCGCTCTGTCAAGAGCGCTCAGGCGGCTGCAGTTGGTTCTCACCTCCCCTGTAGCGTGGCCGAGCTGCTCTGCTGTCCGCGGTGCCCGGCCGGAGTGATAGGAAGGTGCACGCTCAATGTGCACCTTCCTGTATCACTCCGGCCGGCAACCGCGGACAGCAGAGCGGCTCGGCCACGCTACAGGGAGGGGGTAAGAAGGGTAAATAGAGGGGAGGGAGGTCAAGAAGAGGGGAGGGAGAGTAAGAAGGGGGTAGGGGGCAGAAGAGGGAGGTGGGTAAGAAGAGGGGAGCAAGAAAGGGGGTAAGAAGAGGGGAGGGGGGAGTAAGAAAGGGGTAAGAGGGAGGGGGGGAAGCAAGAAAGGAAGAGGGGAGGGGGGGAAGTAAGAAGAGGGAAGGGGAAGTAAGAAGGGGAAGCAAGAAGAGGGGGGAGGGGGAGTAAGAAAGGGGTAAGAGGGGAGGGGAAGTAAGAAGAGGGGGAGGGGGAAGTAAGAGGGGGAGGGGGGAGGAAAGGGTAAGAGGGGAAGGAAGTAAGAAGAGGGGGAGGGGGAGTAAGAAAGGGGTAAGAGGGGGAAGGGAAGTAAGAAGAGGGGGAGGGGGGAGTAAGAAAGGGGGTAAGAAGTTCTTTATTTGAAATTTAAAGGACCACTCTAGGCACCCAGACCACTTCAGCTTTATGAAGTGGTCTGGGTGCCAGGTCCCTCTAGGATTAACCCTTTTTTTTATAAACATAGCAGTTTCAGAGAAACTGCTATGTTTATACTGAGGGTTAATCCAGCCTCCAGAGCCTCTAGTGGCTGTCTCATTGACAGCCGCTAGAGGCGCTTGCGTGCTTCTCACTGTGAAAATCACAGTGAGAGCACGCAAGCGTCCATAGGAAAGCATTGTAAATGCTTTTAGTGAACGGCTGAATGCGCGGCGCATTCAGCCGGCATTTGACGTTGCAGCAAGGAGGAGAGGAGTACAGCTCCCCGCCTCGCTGGAGAAAGGTAAGTGTTTAACCCCTTCCTCTCTCCAGAGCCCGGCGGGAGGGGGTCCCTGAGGGTGGGGGCACCCTCAGGGCACTATAGTGCCAGGAAAACGAGAATGTTTTCCTGGCACTATAGTGGTCCTTTAAGTTTTTTTCCCCTGAAATTTCCTTCTTAAAATGAGGTGCGTGTTATACGCCGATAAATACGGTACTTATTTCCCCATTAACTGCTACATCAACTAATTTCCCCCCACACTTTTAGCCAATTATAGGGGTGGCTACGGAATAAGAAAATGCAATTAAACAATTTGAGGTACCATCCCGGTTTAGTAGTGGATGTACTATTCATACCTCTTTGGTTTTTTGATGCACTCGGATAATGCTTTCATTTATTAGAGTCATGGTATAATAGCGGACATCGTCATATTCCAGATATTCTTGGAATCGGAAAATCAAGGAGGTGGAATCTGTGTCCTCATGTAGTAACCTGTTTATCACGGACTAAACAAGACAAATAATTACTCTTACAAACTTGGCAAAGTCAACCCCCTCCCCCATGCTCTCCACAGCTTACTTTTAACAATTCTCGAGGAAAAACACAGCTTTCTTTCCATTCTGCATTTTCCAGAGGGAACTTGGCCTCCAGCTGGATAAATTTCATCAGGGTGCACAGTGCCAGCTCCTTTAGGAATTAAATAGAGTAATTTGTTAGAATACTAATGAGACATCACAGCGAAAGTTACAACTTGACTAAAGGTCTGGAATACGGAAGGAAACCAACGGTAATAGCCACACTGGAATATCCCATTGAGGAATTTCTTCTTTCCCCTCTCTCAAGTATGATAACAAAAACTACCAGGTCATATAAGCTTTTAGTTAGAGATTAAAGAGAGATGCATACATTGACAATTTTATTTTTTTAAATCAGCAAACACATATAAACAAATACAAACACAAAGATAAAGCACCGCACTTACAGCAGCAGTAACTTAGTATCCAACAGCTTAAAATACATGGTAAAAACAAAGAACGTTACCTGCGCTCACGGGGATTTAGGCCAGAGCGCAGGTAAGTTCTCTTTGTTTTTACTTTTAAACAAATACACAACCAAAATAAAGCATGAAAAATAAGAAGTATGTAATAACATTTATAAATTTACTATAAAACATGGCCAGTTTGTTGGGCACGGCTCTCAGCTAGAGGAGTTTCTTCAGCCTCCCCCCTTTCCCTCTCACCTACACATTTCAGTTTCAGATCAGTCCACTAATGACAGTAAGATGTCCTCATGCACACTTTGCACGAGAACGTCCAGGGTCAGCTAAAACCCAGCATTGACTCAATGCTTTCCTATGGGGAAGTTCTAATGTGATCGCGGCATGTGCATAACATCCCCCGGCCGGAGGAGAAGCCTGACCCAGCACCGAGCGACTTTGGCGTTGGAACCAGGTAATGAACAAAAAAGGGGTTTTGATCACGTCATGGTCATTATTTTGATAGGTGGTTAGTTCACACAAGCCCTACAATGGCCAGTAAAGACATTATTTTCATGCTACAGACAGAGATATCACTGGCTGACGTTGGAATGGCATATAAAACATGCAGTCTGTAAACATAAGCACAAGTCACAACTCTAAAGGGACCAGAGCACCATAACCACTACAGCTTATTTTAGAAGGTTTGAAGTAAAGTGTTTTTGGGTGGAGAACCTTCTTGGAGCCTAGATTTCAACCCCTCTGCTGCAACTCAGATAATGCAGAAGTTTCACATCCATGTTATTCTTAAAAAGATGTTCAACAATGAGAGTAATGGTGAACAGACAGTACTTGGCTACACATTGTCATCCAAGTAAAATTTGACAAATAAATAGGAACAAACAGGAATCTTATATCTATATCTTGTATAGCAGCAAGCACTAAAGGGACACTAAAGTCATCAGAACAACTACACCTTAATATTAGTTGTCTATAGCCGGTCCCTGCATGATTTTTTGTAAACATTGTCTTTTCGGAGAAAAGACAGGGTTTACATTACTGCCTAGGAAAACCTCTAGCGGCAGTCACTTAGACATTCAGCATCTCCACGGTTTACATGAAAGCACAGAACTGATTCAATGCATCTCTGAGGAGATGCTGATTGGCGAACTGCAGCGTTTTGACGCACATGCCGATAGCCTCCCAATGCTTTCCTATGGAAGAGCATTGGATTGGCTGAGATCAAGTTTGATGCTCTCAGACAAGTGAGTGGAGCCAGCAGTGACCAGTCCCACATAGAGCTGTAAAAAGGCAAATCACCTTTTTTTAACTGGAGGTAAGGAGGGCCAAGACTAAACTGTTATTAAGACGAATAGTGTCAGGAATACACATTTGTGTCTTTAAAAACACAAATCTTTTTATTTTATTTTTTTAACAGGTTTGTATCAAATATAATTCGTACTGGACCAACAACAATTCAGTGGTTGTTCTACCTAGAATAGGCATTAAAAGAGAATAATAATATGAACAACAAGATCAGAAACCAACCAACAGTTGTAACCAAGATATGGACAAATTAGGACATGGGTCCTCTAACTCCGGCCTCCCCAGATGTTGCTGAACTACAATTCCCATGATTCTTTGAATTACATAGCCAGAGAATCATGGGAGTTGTAGTTCAGCAACATCTGGGGGCCGGAGTTTGAGGACCCATGAATTAGGATATTTCCAGCAGACGACTGTTTTCCCTTGAGATTAAGAGCAATATGCATAGTGATAATGGTAAATATCCTAGCTGACATTCAGACTTCCAGCTGTTTAATTACAATCTCCTATCTCCAGCCACACACTTGTACTTAAAAAAGTGGGGAAAAGCAAGAACTGCATTTTGCTTTTATTTTGATGGGTGTCAATAGATCACTTTGTTGCTAGTAAGTAAACAAACAAAACAAAAAAATGAATACAAAATTACTGACAACACAGCACATTCCGGTGTAAAGGTCTTCAAATGTGCACATTTCTTGCTATGTATAGTCAACACCAAGGGCAGTTCAAAAAACATCATCACAATAAAAGGATAAAAGATTTGAAGTTCTCAGGAGGTACTAGAGATGGCTCTTCTCAGAAGAGAGGCATTTCAATCTCTTCAAAATAATACCTTTGTACACCTCAGAAGAGATTGAACATGCCAGTCTTTGGATACCGCTAGGTCCTTATGGTTTGAATAACTTTGTATTAGCAAATATAACTAAAGAGAGCACACTGACACTCCAAGGATTCCATTTGTAACAAAAAAACAATTAGATCTAGTTATTTTGCCAAGTTTTTTTTTTTTTTTTTTATCTTTTATGTGCTTTATGATTGTTCTATATTATGGGTTGATATTTTGTATAGGGTATTACACTTTGAGATGCTCTGGACAAATGTACAATACCAGCCCACACTGACCTGCAACTGAAAAGAAAAGCGATGCATGAGATCCAGCAAGCAGGCGACACAGCTATTATAACGATGCCTCATCCACATCTTGTACTTCTGTTCCGCACTCAGTGTATCTAATTTGAAGAGAAAAAGGGGAAAATGTATTTGTAATAGGTCCCCAGTTAACCCGACAGATTCAAAACATTTAATGCAGTCACCAGATTGTTAAAAAGGTTATATCCCCTTAAATAACAAACAAGTTTTGATTATTTGTGTATAAGTTACATAAGTATTTGTATTAAAAAGTGTATTCATGAACTAAAGGGCAACTATAGCATTAACAATACAAAACTGGATTCCTAACGCTATTGTGCCCTAATCCTTATTTAGATATATACCGAGACTATCTCAGCGCTGCTGCCCCTTCACTTCATCAACATCATCCTGTAGGTGCTGCTCTAGGTGATTGTAAAATCCAATGCTTCTCATAGAGGAGAGAGCATCCAGTCAAATGTTTCTCATAGGAAAGCGTTCAATTCAATGCTTTCCTTTGAGCTACAATTGATGCCAGTGATGTTGAAGCTCACACGACCGACTTTGTCGACTCTTGCCTCGGAAGTGCTCCTAGTAAGTGTCAGTGCGAGTCACTAGAAGTGTGTTTAAGCCTTTTTTTTTTTTTTAATAAAACACCAATGTTTTCCATTGAATTGTTAAAACTACAGGGACCACTGCACTGAGATGAATGGTCTGGGTGCATTTAGTGATCCTTTAAACTATCTAGTCTGTTACAAGAACCCATAATATACAACAGATACTGTAGATGTTTTGAGCTGTTTCTTCATTGATGCTCAAACAGCTTCATTAATAGATAACAGTTTCAGTCATAAACATTTACCATCACTCATTTTGTGGGCTTTATTTCCAACGATGCTCATTTAGCTTCACAGATTGCAGAGTATGATGCAAAAGGAAGCCCACAAATGGTATGAATAAATGACAACCTTTGTGACTGTAGCAGACTGTAGGTTGCCTAAGCATTATGGTATATTAAGTCACCCAACTACAGTCACAAATATCACTCACTGAAATTATGATTTTTCAAAGTGTGTAAACTAGAGATATATCGGCACACATAAAAAGATTTCTGTATCAGCCCAATTTCTCTGTCATGCTGACCAAGTGCATTGCATTTGTTGAAAATATATATATATATATATATATATATATATATATATATATATATATATATATATATATATATATATATATATATATATATATATATATATATACACACACACACACTACAACTTTAAATGTAATTAATAGGTAAAGGTTTTTTTATATCATTGACTGACATTACTTTTTTTTTTTACAGAACTTGAAAGTAAACCTGGTTTTAAAGGAATCTTACGCAAGAATAGGGAAATGTTTTCATTTTGGTAATGAAAGCGTGTGTTCCATTTCTTGTAAGTGTACACACCATTTGTTAATTTAAGTGTTGCCATATTTTCTATATTACTGTATACAACTTGTTCAACCCTTGTTTAGGTGCTTGGTTGGCAAAGGATGTGAAAACACTGCACAGAGATCAAGTGGCAAATGTACTAAAACAATATGAAAATGCATAGCTACATGCAACTCTGGGCATTATTAAATCTCATGGAATAACTTATGACAGCAACCTGGAAGGCTCTCATCCTCAGCAGAAAGGACTCCAACATGAAGCTCCCGTTTCTCCAAATATGTCTGGAAGAGTTTAGAGCAGTTCCGAACCGCAGCCTGAACATCATCTTCTTTATCAGACTGAAGAAAGCAAAAAGAATCTATTCAGCCGTTGATTGATACAATGTAAAACACTTGTTAAATATATCTCCAAAGTCAAAACAATCCCTTGAAAGAATACATACTGAATCTGTTTTTTGTTTTTAAGCTGTCACATCATTACACTTTTCCATAAATAGCCAGTAAGGCACAATACATTTCTAATATACACTCTGGGAGAGTCTAATTGTTAATCAGAATTCAATTAAACAAAATGGCTACAGGATACATGCATTTTGCGGATAGAGAATACAGAACCTCGTCACGCTTAAATTGACACTATAGGCACCCATACAATTTCAGCTCATTGAAGTGATCTGTGTCTGGTCCCTTAAAGGACCACTATAGTGCCAGGAAAACATACTCGTTTTCCTGGCACTATAGTGCCCTGAGGGTGCCCCCACCCTCAGGGACCCCCTCCCGCCCGGCTCTGGAAAGGGGAAAGGGTTAAAAACTTACCTTTTTCCAGCGCTGGGCGGGGAGCTCTCTGTCTCCTCTCCTCCTCCGATCCTCCTCCTGGGCTGAATGCGCACGCGCGGCAAGAGCTGCGCGCGCATTCAGCCCGTCGCATAGGAAAGCATTTACAATGCTTTCCTATGGACGCTTGCGTGCTCTCACTGTGAAATCACAGTGAGAAGCACGCAAGCGCCTCTAGTGGCTGTCAATGAGACAGCCACTAGAGGAAATAGGGGAAGGCTTAACCCATTCATAAACATAGCAGTTTCTCTGAAACTGCTATGTTTATAAAAAAATGGGTTAACCCTAGAAGGACCTGGCACCCAGACCACCTCATTAAGCTGAAGTGGTCTGGGTGCCTAGAGTGGTCCTTTAACTATGCAGTGGTAAATACTGCAGCTTCCTAATAAACTGCAATTATTACCTTGCAGGGTTAACTTCACCTCTACCAGACAGCCACTAGAGGGCCTTCCGGCTGGTTAAGTGACTTTTGGTTGCCTAAGTGGCGCTGTACGTCCTCAAGCTATACATGAGGACATCCAGCGTCACCCAAAACCCCATACAATGCTTTCCTATCGGGAAAGTCCTAATGCAAGCACGGCAAAAGCTGCGCATGTGCATTAGGTCTCCCAAACCAATGTCAGTATTGGAAGCGGAGCCTGATCCAGCGCTGTGGGAAAACCGCATTATGTAAATGACAGAAGGGAGTTTTAACACCTTCTGCACCAAGTGGGGCCGGGCACAAGAGAGTGGGGCACTATAGAAAGCTATTGTACCAGGAAACCAACTTTGTTTTCCTGGCACTATAGCTTCTCTTTAAGAGGTAAGGAGATATATATATATATACTATAAAGTTTATGTTCATAAAAAAGGAGTGATAAATGATGCCCAAAATGCTTTCAACAGTAACCTAAGCAACATGTCCACTACGGCTTGCTGTAGTGATTAGGTTTTATAAAGAGTCCTGGCATTGTGTCTCACTTTAAAACACCAAAACTACAACCATCTCCTGTTTTGGTTATAGTATGAAGAGTGTCCTGATGCCCTCCCAAAGGTAAGTAGTAAAACCAATTTAGTATGATCCGACATCTAGGTTGTGTAGGTACAAAAGGTTTAAAACAAGTAATGGTACTTTATAGCGTTTCAAAAACCTATTTGCAGTTAAAATGTTTAACAACAGAATTCACAGCTATTTGATGTGAGGCGAAAGAGTAAACTGCAATAATGTGATGCACTTTTTTTCTTTGATAAATCTTCATATAAACACGGCCAAGGCTGCATTTATTATTGAGACAGGTTAGATAAGGCTTTTATCGTGCAGTGCCCTGGGTAGTAACATGGGACAGGCAGACAGACAGACCTTGCCCTGAATAACACGTGCACCGTCCTTACCTCCAGATATTCCAGGATATCAAACACAATGTTAGCATTGCCCCGGCTCGCCAACACGGCTGCGAGTTTCTCATCCAGATCCTTTCGCGTGGCTCCCCCAGGAACATTTCTTCTCCTTAACACATGCCGCTCCTTGCGCGCAGCCATCTTGCCAGCCGGTGTGATCACGTGGTCAGTGCAGCCCTCTGAATCCGCCTTCTTAGAGCGCGTGCGCAGTACAGTGAAAGCCGTGGAACGTTGGTTTAGTGCCAGTGAAGGAGTATTGAGAGTTAACATAACAATAGCGATTGTGTGTATTTAGTGGCCATTAAAGGAGCACTGCAGAAATGGAGGGGGGCGCTTGGACCATTCACCATTGGTTCCTACACCTCCACAGACAAACCAAGTGAGCTGTACTCAGGGCAGGGATACGATCCATTCAGTGAGATATTATTATTATTATTATTATTATTATTCTGCTCTGTATTAGGGAGATTGGATACAACAAATTTAAAAAAAAGAGATTCTGCTGCAGTTTGATACTTTGTGAATTTTCAAAGTTATATACAGGGATATTCACTGAAGTGAGATAAAATTTAAAGGACCGCTATAACATTAGCAGAGCCTCCATCATGGGGGTACAGCTGTATGGGCCTGGACCCTATACTCACCATGTGTGTATATATAGTCAGCTGCTTCTTTCTAAGAAGGGTGTAGCAAACAGCCTGCTGGGGAAATGCTAACTAGACCAAATTTTAAATTTATGCCTGAAACTGCTACGTGGTATTTATACATGACTTGGAGATATTGCAGCTAGAACAGCTATCCCTAAATTCCTTATGTCTCTTAAAGGGACACTCCAGGCACCCAGACCACTTCTGCCCATTGGAGTGGTCTGGGTGCCAACTCCCACTACCCTTAATTCTGCAACTGTAATTATTGCAGTTTTCATAAACTGCAATAATTACCTTGCAGGTTTAAGTCCTCCCCTAGTGGCTGTCCAAACCTGTGCTATAGCATCGCTGGACGTCCTCATGCTGTGTGAGGACCTCCAGCGTCGCTAAAATTCCCATAGGTAAGCATTGAAAAGCATTTTCAATGCTTTCCTATGGAGAGGTCTAATGCGCATGCACGGCATTGGTGCGCATGCGCATTAGGTCTCCCCAGCGGGCGGGATCAGTCTCCCCCGCCGGCTGACGTAATGAAGGGGAGGAGCGGTGTAGGAGGAAGAAGCAGCGACGTGGGACATGTCGCTGCCTCTGGTAAGTGACTGAAAGGGTTTTCACCCCTTCAGCAACCGGGGATGGGAGGTGGCAGGGAGAGGGGACCTGCAGTGCCAGGAAAACGGATTGTTTTCCTGGCACTGGAAAGTCTCTTTAAAGAGAACGTGCAATGGAAAGAATGACTTACCTTAAATTGCTTCCATATACTTTGAAATACTGTATTTCATAGAGATGCATGGTGTAATGTAAAATATAAAGATTTACTCACTTTTCTTCCGCTCCAGTGCCGCTTTGTGAGTGTTACTCTTCGTATAACACCCACCTCCTGGCCATCCTTCGATCTGTCTCTGTACTTCTTTATTTGCCCTGCTTGGTACGCATCCCCAAACATTGCAAATCTTGTCAGTGATGTCGGAATGCTGGCTTTATTGCCAGCCTTCCCCTTGTCGGAAAGGAGTGACCTTAATATCTCATGCTATTGTGGAAGGGTTTCAGTCTATTTCTGCCGAAGAAACCAAAGTGAACCATACCTATTAAGTTTCCTCTGAATCTACACTGAACAAAATTATAAACACAACACTTTTGTTTTTGCCCCCATTTTTTGAGCTGAACTCAAAGATCTAAGACTTTTTCTATGTGCACAAAAGGCCTATTTCTCATAAATATTGTTCACAAATCTGTCTAAATCTGTGTTAGTGAGCACTAATCCATCCACCTCACAGGTGTAGCATATCAAGATGCTGATTAGACATGATTATTGCAATAAAAGGCCACTCTAAAAGGTGCTATTTTATCACACAGCACAATGCCACAGATGTTGCAAGTTTTGAGGGAGCGTGCAATTGGCATGTGACTGCAGGAATGTCCACCAGAACTATTGCCCGTAAATTGAATGTTAATTTCTCTACCATAAGCCGTCTCCAAAGGCATTTCAGAGAATTTGGCAGCACATCCAACCAGCCTTACAACCACAGACCATGTCTAACCACACCAGCCCAGGACCTCCACATCCAGCATCTTCACCTCCAAGATCGTCTGAAACCAGCCACCCGGAAAGCTGCTGCAACAATCAGTTTGCATAACCAAAGAATTTCTGCACTGTCAGAAATCGTCTCAGGGAAGCGCATCTGCATGTTCGGCAAATGCTCACATTCGATGGCTTCTGGCACTTTGGAGATGTGTTCTCTTCACTGATGAATCCCAGTTTTCACCGTACAGGGCAGATTTATGGCGTTGTGTGGGTGAGCGGTTTGCTGATGTCAACATTGTGGATCAAGTGGCCCATGGTGGCCGTGGGGTTATGGACAACCAAAATAGGTGCATTTTATTGATGGCATTTTGAATGCACAGAAATACAGTGACGAGATCCTGAGGCCCATTGTTGTGCTAATATTTCACGACCATCACCTCATGTTACAGCATTAGAATGCACGGCCCCATGTTGCAAGGATCTGTAAACAATTCCTGGAAGCTGAAAACATCCCAGTTCTTGCATGGCCAGCATACTCACCGGACATGTCACCCATTGAGCATGTTTGGGATGCTCTGGATCGGCGTATACGACCGCATGTTCCAGGTCCTGCCAATATCCAGCAACTTCGCACAGCCATTGAAGAGGAGTGGACCTACATTCCACAGGCTACAATCAACAACCTGATCAACTCTATGCGAAGGAGATGTGTTGCACTGTGTGAGGCAAATGGTGGTCACACCAGATACCGACTGGTTTTTGGACCCCCCAATACAGTAAAACTGCACATTTTAGAGTGGCCTTTTATTGTGGCCAGTCTATGGCACACCTTTGCAATAATCATGCTGTCTAATCAGCATCTTGATATGCCACACCTGTGAAGTAGATGAATTATCTCAGCAAAATAGAAGTGCTAACTAACACAGATTTAGACAGATTTGAGAGAAACAGGCCTTTTGTGTACATAGAAAAAGTATTAGATCTTTGAGTTCAGCTCATGAAAATGGGGCAAAAACAAAAGTGTTGCGTTTATAATTTTGTTCAGTGTAGTTTAGACCAGAAGGCCTTATAAGACTGTTATTCAGTTGGATTCCCTGAAAGAAATGCAGATGGCGATAGACTTTTGCTCAGAAGCTTCCCTTGACTTGACCAATATAGTGGCTAAAGATATGTCCCTTTCTGTAGCTTTTAGAAGAACTTTATGCCTACACTTCTTGGGTGCAGATTATGCTTCCAAATCAAGATTATGTGCTTTTCCTTTCAAAGAGGATAAGTTCTTCAACAAAGTGTTAGATAATGTAAATTGGAAAAGCTGCTGAAGGGGAAAAAAAGCCTTGTTACCTCCTTCCTTACGTAGTGATAAGTGCAATAAAGGTTGCTCCTTTCGAGAGACCAAAATGTATAGACCTGGTAGAGAATATACCAAAACTACATCTGGAGATCCTCACATGCTACCTCTACAAAATCCTCTACAGCTAACTTAAGATGTGGGATTTCTCTTGCCATTTTTAAATCCTATACATCTCCAGGAATGGTACCTTCAACTTCTATCAGGGCCCATTCTACCAGAGTGTCATGGGCTTCATCTGCAGAGATTTATTTGGAGTAAAGTTATAGGGCAGCTACCTAGTCTTCTCTATTGACATTCATTAAACATTATAAATTGGATGTAGCAAGTTCTTCAAAGACTTCCTTTGAGAAAAGCATTCTCATGGACGTAGCCTCTAAATAAATAATTATGCAGTGCTTGTGTATTTCCCTCCTTTCTGAATCGCCTTGGCTATATCCAGTAGTGATTCTGCCATGGTTAGCCAAGAAAGGACATTTTTATCATACCGTAATTTTCTTTTCCTGGCTATTTCCCATCATCACGCTCCCTTCTTGTTTTTCTTGCTCTGGGACTTGGAACAAGACTGGGGAGGATTGGAGGTGTGGTGGTTAGAATTTCCTGCACTGACACCTAAAAGGCAGAGCTAACCCATTAGTGATGCTGTCATGGAAAATAGCCAGGAAAATAAAATTACCATTTGTATGGTACAATTTTTCTCCTGTAGTAAATAACCCCTATAGAATTTTGGCTGATTTTAACAGCTAACCAAACAGCAGCTGAATATAAATACAAATGTGGATGAAATAACAAATTTGCTTTTAGGAAATAATGGAATGGGTTTCAGATAGCAAACCTATTCACTAAAGTGGGAATTCAAAGTGAATTTCAAATTATTTTTTTTTATAAATTCTTTATTTAACAGGTAGCATTGGCATAGCATGTTGATGTTCAGAGGTAATAATCATATCCGTTACAGGCATAACATTCACATCCCATATCAAACCCCCCATCCACACTAGGGCAGACTGCCTCTCCACTCCTATACCCCACTGTGTATAGCTCCGAGTCCGTGAATTGCTCATGAGTCCCCCCGGTTCTCCCGCTCTTGCTTTCCTTGCCAATGCCAGTTTTCTTATTTTAACCAAACATGAGATATACAGACAGAAACAGTAGACCAAAAAAAGAACACAACAAATACAACAACCATGTTTGTCTCCAACTCCCGCAGCGTAGGCCATTCTGCTCCTCCCGGGCCATGGGCCCTCCATCGGTATCTCTCTCTCCCGCCAATTCCCTCCAGCAGGACAGATCAATAGTTGGATATACCCCAGTAGTGGTCTTGCCTACGTAATCGTGGCCACCCCTTTGTCTATGTTATGGCGTTCTCTTCCGCCAACGGGCTATCCCTATCGCTGTCTAGAGAAACTTACTGGTGTCCCTGCGGTAAAGTCAGCGGGAGACTTCAATTCCCATATCTGCCTGGTGCGCCCCATGGATGTAGGGTAACGAAGCGATTGGTGCGTGGGAGATAGAAAGATAGAAAAGTGGGGTGACAGGTTGGTAGGAAAAAAAAAAAGAGAGACGGGGGGGGAAGGGAGCGGCAGGGGGTGAGGGGCCACATTCCTCTCCTCACGCTACATTCCTAGTGGGGAATTCTCCCATGGCTCCCAGATCCTCTGAAAGGACTGGTGGGTATCCCTTATTCAGGCAGTTAAATCATCCATTAGGTGCACTTCTTTAA